GAAGGATGTGCTACCCACCATTGACCCGGTATGTGTGGTGCCAAGGGCAGTCTTCGCTGGTTGTTTGCTCCTCCAATACTGAAGGGAAAGGACCATTTGAAGTTTAAATCAACTACCATCCAGTAAAACATTATATTTTACACAATATGGATGGATTTCCAACATTTCAATAGTCTACACCAGTCCTTCTTTGTCTCAGAGTTCTTTATTAGTGTGAATTTTAGTTCCATCAGTTCACGGAAAGGAGTGTTCTTCAAGGGAACAAAGTCCAATATCCTGTGTTTACAATGGGCAATTCTGAGAAGTTCTGGTTTAGATGCTGGTCATAGGGAAGTGGCTTCCATAAACTATATGCTAGTGGGGATATAGGCAATAAACAAGTAAATGTTCTATGATTAACTAGCTTCTCGAAAGTGCTATAAATAAAATAAAACAAATGAAAGAATTTAACAATTCTATTTAAGACATGCTAATTTTTTTTATAAGGTTTAGCTCAGTAAATTTTTGGCTGTTAAAAACAAAAACAAAAACAAAACAAATAAAAAACCAAAAACAATCCTAGCTAAGCAGTGGTGGTGCACATCTTTAATCCTGGCATTCAGGCAACAGAGGCAGGTGGATCTCTGTGAGTTTGAGGGCAGCCTGGTCTACATAGCTAGTTCCATGACAGGCAAGGCTATACAGAGAAACCCAGTTTCAACCCCCCCCCCAGCCCATCCTCCAATTCCAAATTCTCTAATACAGAAAATATTTAAAGGATTGTACAATATACTCAGTAGCCAGACATGTTGAATATTAATGGTAATCCATATAGGGAAGCATGTTTGGATAAATGTTTGCCTTTTAAAGTACTCTGAAGGGATTATAGTTGTCTTTTAAAATGTTTGTATGTATCCATGTTTTTAGAAGTCATTGTCAGCTGGTATGTCAGGAAGTAGAGGCAGGAGGATCAGGGGTTCAGGACCAGCCTCAGCTATAGAGCAAGTGTGAGATCTGTCTGGGCCTGTCTCAAAGGAAAACAAAACCAAAAACACATTGTCTCAAAAGCTACCCAGTGTCTAAGTAGAAACAAAAGTGATACATTGTTGGCCATTGTCCTTTAATCCCAGCACTTGGGAGGCAGAGGCAGGTGGGATCTGTGTGAGTTTGAGGCCAGCCTGGTCTACAGAGTAAGTTCCAGGACTGGCTCCAAAGCCACACAGAGAAACCCTGTCTCAAAAAACCAAAGTAAAAAACAAAACAAAAAACCTTGATTGAGCCCCCTGCTTGCTCTTTTAAAAAAAAAAAAATTTTTTTTTGTTACATGTAGTGTTCTACCTGCATGTTTGCCTGCTGCCAGAAGAGGGCACCAGATCTTATTTTAGATGGTTGTGAGCCACTATGTGGTTGCTGGAAATTTAACTCATGACCAGTGCTCTTAACCTCTGAGCCATCTCTCCAGCCCCAAACCCCTGCTTACATGCCACACAAATACACTTAAACTGCTTAAAGCAGTTAGCATATTCCCATCGCAGATATGCACAGCCACAATCAGTTTTAGCACATTATGTCATCCTGGAAAGCAGTAGTTCACTTTCTACCCTCCAGGTCCTACCTCACTCCTGCCCGCCACTAATCTTTCTGTCGGTACATAGGTTTCTCTGACATGAACAGATGTGTGTTCTTTCTGCCTTCCTTCAGTTAGCTTGATGTCTTTAAGGTTCATTCATGTTATAGCATATGTTGGTACTTTGATCTTTATATAATACTATTATATTACATAATATCTGAATAATACTTTATTGTGTGAATATACTGCATTTTATTCATTCCTTTGTCAGCTAATGGAAACTCTGGTTGTCTATACCAGTTGGGTCATGTGATTATCGTGCTATAAATACAGGCTTTTGTGTCACTGTGTGTTTTTTGTCTTGGGTATGTACCTAGGAGTGGAGTTGTTAACTGTTTAAACATTTGAGGAACTTTTTCTAGTCGCTTTTCATGGTGGCTGCCCCATTTTTCACTCTTTTTAAAATTTTCTGATTTAGATTTACTTATTATGTATACAGTGTTCTGCCTGCATGCTCACCAGAAGAGGGCACCAGATCCCACTATCGATGGTTGTGAGCTGGGAATTGAACCCTGGCCCTCAGGAAGAACAGCCAGTGCTCTCTTAACTGCTGAGCCATCTCTCCAGACCCTTAAAAAATTATTTTTTAACTTTTATTTTTATTTTGTGTGTCTGGGTGTTTTGCCTGCCTGCATGTATGTCTCTTCTGTGCCATGTGTGTGCACTGCCTGAAGAGGCCAGAAAAAAGTGTGCACCTCCACACTTGGCTAGAGATTTAATTCTTATGTTTGTTTTTAAAGTTTTATAGTACCAGCATGTGCATGCAAAGTCCCAAGTTCAAGGCTTGCTTAGGCACCATAGTGAGTTCCAGTCCAGGCTAGGCTACTTAATAAAGCCTCACTATGGCGCCTAAGATAAACTCAAGTGGTCAGGTTGGGTACCAACCAAGTGCCTTTACCCACTAAGCCACCTCATCTACTCTTTTTTGTTTTTCATATAAACCATCACAGTAATTGGCCTACCCTGTGTGTGTACTCATTTGTGCACATGTATATGGAGGACAGAGATCAACCTCAAATGTTCCTCAGGAGTCAAGGGCTCCCACTAGAACCTGGAGCTTGCCAACTAGGATACTGGCTGGCCAGTGAGCCCCAGCAATCTTCCTATCTCTCTCTCTCCCTGGGATTATTCCTGGGGTCTGGGAATTGAATTGGTGTCCTTAGGCTTGCATGGCAAGCACTTTACCAATTGCATTATCTCCTCAACACCAGCAGACCTCCTTTTCATCACAGGATGATCTCTACTCAGTCTCTTTGGAGACAGACTCCTCTGTGTAGCTCAGGCTGGCTTGACACTGATATATAGACTAGGCTTGCCCCAAACTTAAAATGTAATTATTCTGGCTTTGCCTCTCAAGTGCTGGGATAAAATTATAGGTATGCCATCTGGCTCTACTCAGTCTTCCTAGATGTTCTTGTTTGGCTTTTTAATGCCTTTATAATAATCTTTCGGGTGTGCTTATGAAGAATAAAGACAAAAAAACAAAACAAAAAAGAAACAAAAAACAACCCAAAAAGCAAGACAGAAGATAGGCTGTAGAATTTGTACAGACTGAGTTGCAGTGCCATTCCATTGCCAAATCTGTTTTTGGTCCTTCCATGGGTGAAGTTGGTGGTGTATATGGAATACAATGAAGTATTTTTGTGGAATTTGGATATAATATACTTACGTTTTTATTTGACTGGATTCCTACCTATGGAATATCTTATATGCCTACTAATTGTTTGACCAATTCACTCTCGTGTAAAGATAGTGAGTATCGGATGAATGTTGGTTGCTAACCTGACTTCTTGTTGCAGACAAAACTTCCCTGGGGCCCCTACTTATGGTTTTACATGCTTCGGGCTGCCACATCAACCCTCTCAGGTATTGCTCTTCTGTTTGAATGCTGCATGATCTCTGTAATAAGTTCTGCTCACAGGAGCTTTACCAAATGGGATGCTCCCACGGAAGCAGCAGCAAAATAGGGAACCACTTTGTCTCTACAGGTAGCCAGCTAACATTGGAAAATATTACTCTAGCTTGTAGAAATGTTCTTCAGTTTATAGTTGTGTTACAAAACAAACTAGGGCCAGCAAGTTGGCTCAGGCAGGTAAAAGTACTTGCCACCAAACTTGACAAGCAGATTTGATCCCTGGAAGCCCTGTCAGGAAAGAAGAACTTATTCCTGATGAGTTGTCCTCTGACCTCCACGCAATACACCATCCCCTAAGCATAATAATAAAAACCACCCCTGGAAGATGGCACCATTATCGTAGGCAGGGTTGTCATATTTTAAACCCTATTAACCACCCGTTCTGTTACTTTACCATTTGGTCTCCTACTGCTGTTAGTCTCATAATGTCTCATTGCTTATTCCAAAGCCTTATTGTAAACGTTTCATATTTTAATTTTTATTATTTAATTTTTTTGTATATTAGAATCTTATCATTTTATTGTTATTGAGTTATAGGGATGCATGTTTTCTTCCATGAAATTTTTTATGATGCTGAGGACTGAACCTGCCCTGTACATCCCAGGCAAAAACTTCCACTGAGGTGTGTCCCAGCAGTATTTCACTTCTTAAATTGAATCATAACTGATATTTGAAGGAAGTGAATTATCAACTTACGTAGTTACGATGCTAATGTTTAAACCATAAAATTTACTGTTTGCAATGAACTACTTGATAATGTCTGTCACTTTTGTATTAGAGCAAATCATTGCTAGTATTTGAGGCAACATTTATTGAGCATGTATAGTGGTCAGGAGTGTTTGGTGTGATGGAAGAGCACAAAATTTACACACAGATTTGGATTTGAATGTTAGCTCTTTTATCTGCTTTGACAACTTCTTCACATTTCCCAAGCCTGACCTCTCACTGCCTGCCAGAGCCTTCGGTATTAGGTGCTGATTTTGGTGGGACAGAATGCCTGGCAAAAGCAAGCTAAGGGTTTGTATGGCTCCCAGTTGAAGTGTACACACCATCCTGGTGAGGAAGCCATGGCAGGTTCATCATCCCTTTTCTCCAGCCAATGATATCCTAACCTTCTCACACAGTGTGTTTTACCAAAAGAAGAGACCTCTAACTGATAATTATAGTACCCGATGAGAAGCATGTAGCAGAACTGTGGCTGGCCTACCACACAACTAATCCCAGCACTGTGGAGGCTGCTGGAGGATCTCTGACTAAATACTCTGAATATGTTTGCTATATAGTGAGACACTGTTCTTAAAACAAACATGCAAAAATAGGAATGTGAACAGACTGGTATCCAGGACGGAAGTGAGGAGACAGTGATACATTTATTGGGTTTAAGGATAAAACAGTAACTCTTGTATTTTTAGTATTACATAAAATGCTCAAGAAATGTTTATGGTATTGTATGTCTCTTAATTTTTGTATCTATAGTGTGTGACTTTCTTGGGGAGAAGATTGCATCTGTTTTGGGTATCAGCACCCCAAAATACCAGTATGCCATTGATGAGTATTACCGGATGAAGAAAGAGGTGTGTATCCTTTTTTAACTTTATTGATGGTTTGTCTGAGGCTTGATGAGCTCCAAGTTGAGTATGTAGGCACTCTAGGAGCCCAAAAGATAGTTCCAGTTTTTTTGTTCTGTTTTTTTTTTTTTTTTTTTTTTTTTTTTTTGCAGTGATAGATGTCAAACACAGGACCTTACATATGCCAGATGAGGGCTTTATCACCAAAGATTGCTTATTTACTTTATTAAATTAACAGATTTTAGAACTCTTCAAAATTCAGATTTCCTAAGGTAAATGTATAAAACCTATGCTAGGTTTTGTTTGCCAGTGCTAATAAGTGAGGCACCTCATATATATTAATTTGATCTTTTTATACCTTTTGATATTGTTACTTTAAAAATGAAGAAATACCACGTACCCTGTGTAAGTAGTGAGGTATTTACTGAGTTCCCCAACCCTCAAATCCCTTTGTCAGGAAAACTGCATCTCCTGTTAGGGTTAGTGTATAAAATGCTCATAACAGCACCTAGTGTATGTTGGCAAGCACATGGTAGACCAGAGGGCTTAGTGAGTCAAAAACAGGTCAGGTAAAGCCAGAAGAGGCCTGAACACAGGGTGTGTATTCTCTCAGTAAACAACAAGCAGTCTTTGGAGGGCTGTGCCTGGAGGTCAGCCTAGAAAGATCACCTGCACAGCAGAAGAGAGCCACCATGTGGTTGCTGGGTATTGTAGTCAGGACCTCTGGAAGCAGTCAGTGCTCTTAACTTATGAGCCATCTCTCCAGCTCTCAAATATGTTTTTAAAAAAAACCAAAAAAAGCGCACCATGTTCAAGCCTCCCCAGTTTGTTCAGTCCACTTCAGAAGCTTCTGGAGTCCTATCTCACTCAGGATAATTCTCCTAAGAGGTTACTCATTCTATACTGACTTGTATCTCAGGGTCCAGATAGAGTGCCACCTCCTCTATGAACTGAATGGTTTCGCTCAACTACAGGTTTTGCTGTGGTCTCTGTGCTGCTTTCTGTGTCACACCTCTCTATATGTCTTAATTTCTTACTAGACTGCAAAGTTCTTGAGGGCAGGAACTGGATGATCTGTACCTTGATTAGGTGCTTAGGGAAAAACTCACCATGCTATACCAACTAATGAATGAACCAACCTGTTAACTAGGATGACACCTTATAATTAAAGTGTCACAGTAGTTACACCTACACGTGTCCGTAGTAGGTAATTTGTTACTTTATTGGGTAAGTTAATTTAGCTAAGTAGTGCTGGGCCATCCACCTTTAAAAATAACTCTTACTTTAAGAACAGGGGAAAAGGACAGGTTTGTTTTGGTAGTGATAGTTTGTTGGTGGAATTTCTTCCAGCTAGGTCCCACTGCTTCAGCCCTAAATGATCACACAGAGACACTGTACTATTAAACTAGTGGCCGATGGCTAGGGCTTCTTATTGGCTAGCTCTCTCTTATTAACCCATAACTACTAATCTGTGTATTTCTACATGGTCTAATCTTACCGGAGAACACCTGGTATGTCCTATCTTCCCCATGTCTACATGGTGTCTCTCTGTGGCTCCTCTCTGTGTACCTTTCCTAGAATTCTTCTCATCTCTTAGTCTCACCTATCTTCCTGCCTCTATTGGCCAAACAGTGTTTTATTCATCAACCAATAAGAGAAACATATATACAGAAGGACATCCCCCATCAGCAGTTCCTTTTCAATTGACTCCCTTCCTCCATGTGTAGTGCTAGGGATCAAATCTAGATCCTCGTGTGGATGTTGGGCATGCCTTTTACCACTGAGCTATACCCCCACCCCAGAAGTATGTCTTAATTAGACACAACACTGAAGTTTGGTTTTTGAAGAAAAAGATGCTATTGAGAGAAGAAATATTTGTTCCTTTTTGGACATTACTATTTTAACTACTGACATTTCCTATTTTTTTAGGAGGAGGAGGAGGAAGAAGAAAATAGGATGTCTGAAGAAGCAGAAAGACAGTACCAACAGAACAAGTTGCAGGCTGATTCCATTGTACAGACAGATCAGCCAGAAACAGTGGTGCCTAGTTCATTTGTGAATATAAATTTTGAAATGGAGGAAGACTGTGAAGTAATTAAGGAAAGCAAACAACAGCCAGCCTCTGTCCCACCATAGAATGAAATGACATATAAAGCCTAAACATCAATCAGGAACTTTTTACATTTTGTTTAGTGTGACTTAAAACAGCTATTTATATTTTAAATTATTTAGGGGAAATCTTTCTTCATTCTTTCAAAGTCATATCTAAAGTTGGAATGCCTTTATGAGTAAATAAGTGATCACCCCCGCACCTCCATGGTGGGGAGCAAGCCACAGGCTACTTTCATGTATACTAACCAAGTACCCTAGTGATCACTAAGCCCCAGCACTTTGATTTTAAAACAATCTTCTATAAAACATAAGGACATTTAGCTAGGCATGATAACACACACTAGGGAGGCAGGGGCTGGTGGTTCTGTATGAATTCAAGGCTCACCTGGTCAGCATAATAAGCTGCAGTCTAGGCAGTAAGACCCTGTCTCAAACCAAAAACTGAAGGCATTGTACATTAAAAGGAGAGTTAAATTGTGAAGATATTTAGTTTTAGGGCATTTGTTTTAAAAATAAAGGTAAGTATTGATTACTCATCTTTGGAGCTGATAATTCTAACAGCTTCAGATTGAAGTGTCCTCCCAACATTGTCTCATGCCATGCCTTCTTTGCATTTAACATACCTAACCAGTACTTTTACACTAAGGATGGCTCAGAGTGTGTAATAAAAGGATCAAGATGGAAGCACTATGGATTTCCTTTTGTTGAGAATATTTTATGGAAAGTGTTGAATGTACTACTGTAAATATTAAGATGGGTTTTCACCTTCACTGCAAGTCACTCGTGTATTTTCAGTAGTTAATAGCTTGCTCTGATCACAAATTAACACTAGTTACTGAATGAATTTGTAGTTGTAGTCAGGTGTTGATCCCTAGTGGCTACCCACATGGCTGGCACCTTGGGTACACATACTCAGTAGTTTTGTTCACCATTGTGAAGTCACAGTAGTAAGTTGGACAGTTGATGTGAACCAGGTTTGGCCCTTTCTCTCCTTACTAGGCTATCATTTACAAAGTTGTGTACTTTGAATCTAATTTTAAGAAATATTCCTAAATATGTGTTCAGAACCTTTTGTCTGTATAACTTTGATTTATAACCAAATATGGATAAAGAGAAATGTGGACAATGTTTTAGATGCTGATCTTTTAAAAGCCTTCTCATAGCTTTTAGGAATTAACACTTACAAACTGCCCTTCTAAGTAGCATGACACTTTCCCTCTTCAATTTGTGCAATTCATACATGGATAGGTGTATTATAGAGACCCGCCAGTGGACCTCTCAGTAAGTTAACGGAAAGCTGGATTTTTAACTGACTATGCAAAGTTTAAGTGAGAGCTTCAGTTGGACTGAAATTTGTAAAGCTCAGCAAGTACGAAGTCTTCCCTGGAGTTGTGAGCAGTTGGTGAGCTCCCTTCATGGGCTAAACTATGTGACGCAGTCCTTAGAGGTTTATCTTTAGATTGTGTAGTTAGGGCCACTACAATGCAGTTTACTAAAATCCAGTCTTAGTTGATAGTTGCTAAAACATGCTGGCCTGACCTCTTCCTCTTGGTGCAGTGCTGACACCTCAGACACTTATGAGGCCAAGGCAGGTGGGCTAGGGAGATCACTAGAGTCTCTCCTGAAGTGCCAGTATCTCAGAGTTTACACCACAGCTTGTGATTACAGTAGAAGAGGAACCACCTGCAAAGGCTCAAGGTTTCCTCAGTTTACTTTTGCTGCTTGTTGGGCAGCAGCTGGTTTGTGACGTTTGGAGTTATTCACTGTGCCTTATATTTTTATACTTTGGTTTATGCAAGTTATAAAGTTTATCATAAATGCACTAAACAGTTTGCTTTATTTTAAGTCTCTGTCACCCCTTCCTACTTTCCAGCCCTGAGTAGAATTAGTTTCCCCTCTGGATCACACTCCATGATGTTCTATTTTCTTTTGAAATCCCTTTTTATTAAAAATTGAACATAAGCCAGGAGTGGTGGTACACGCCTGTACTCTCAGCACTAGGGAGGCTGAGGTAGGATCATGAGTTGAAGGCTGGCCTAGACTACATATCAAGATCCTTATTTCAACAACAACAAAAAATAACAAAAACCCATAAATGGAGGTTGGGGATGCGGAGGGAGGGGAAGTGTGATTGGTATGTAAAATGAATAAAATATTTAAAAAGCATAAAAACATGAGGTAGTATAAAGAATTAGTAAATTCTCTAACAAAAACCTTTTAATAAAAGGTACAGTTTTGTAAATGTAACTTGATAATGTTAATAAAACTAGACAAAATTTTATACTTGTGATTTTAATGAAAACAAAATATTGCATAGTTTTCTTAAAAAATACAATCTCAAGAATTTGGGGGGCTGGCAAGACGACTCAGTGGGTACAGTTCTTGCTGGTAAGCCTGACAACCTAAATTTGAGCTCCAAAGCCCATGTGGGAGAAGGAGGAACTGACCCTTAAAAATGTCTACTGACCCCCATGTGTGCTTTAGTGCTCACACACAGTAAATACATGAAAGCTTGGAGGGGAAAAAAAGCATGGTGGCACTCACCTGTAAACTCAGCACTTGGGATGGCTCTCTATGGTTTAAGGTTCAAGGCCAACCTAGTCCACATAGCATTTTCCAGGCAGTCAAGGCTACTACGTAGTGAAACCATGTGTCAAAAAAAAAAAAAAAAAAAAAAGTCACATCTAAAGCTTTTGAATCCCGAAAAATGTAGTGGGCTACTTTGATGGAAAAGTTTGATGTCCTTAATATTCATGAAGAACAAATACTGTAATCCTATATGAATACCAGAAATAGTCCATAAACTCAACATCTACTTACAGCAAGTCTGACTTTCTGTTCCTGAGCTAAATGGAACTAGAACTTACCACTTAATTAAAAAAAAAAAAAACAAAAAAAACAAAAAACAAACAAACAAACTAATTGGTCCTATTACTTTGAAATTGTTCCAACCGCAACCAGAAGTCTAGTAAGCAAGATATGTGTGGTGTTGTACAGGCATGAGACAAGTTTTATTTAGGATGTTTCTAGGGATCCTGCCTCAAAGGTTTGCATGCAGCATTCAGGCTTTGTCTTTATGAAGGCAGTCTGGTCTCTGAGAGCTCACGTGTCATCCAGATCTGCAGAGTTCTCATTGTCATTTGCAACAAGGGCTTCTCTGTTCTCGTAAGTCCAGAAGCCGTTCAGATCAATGAGAATGGTGGTCACTGTGTCTCCTTGATTGCTGTTGATTAAATCCTGAAGTGAGATTTTCAAAGGATCCTTTGGTTTTACCATGTCAAAGATCTCATCCTGTATGGAAAAAACAGTAATAATGAAAGCTGGTGGAATTTCTGCCACAGATGTAAATTCGGGATATTTAAACCACTGTACAATTTTTATTTCAGTTTTTTCTTTTCCACTTAATAGGTATCTCCTTAGCCACAGAATTTTCTTGGGCGATTCCTTAGCTGTATGATAATTGTTTCTCATTTTAAAGATGAAGAAAATGGGCTCAGAGTTCAATTCAAGCTCATAGCTAATGACAGAGCTATCTAATATAGTATTCTTTGAATGCAACTAACTTACACTTCTTATTGCTTTCTAATGGTGGGGCAAAGGCCGGGCATGGCATTCTCTTCCACTCCCAGTGCTTGGAATCAAGCACCCAAGATGTCTCTCACCAGGCAAGCATTTCTACTAAGTGACATCACTATATCTTTTAAGTAAGAGCTCAGCTAAGTAATAAAGATTCAAGTAGTTCAGAGATAGTGAAAAACCTTTATTTCTAATAATAATAGCAATTTTTATTCTAATCCCAATATGGGAGGAATGGAACTCCATATTAAAGAATTAGTCATACAAAATAGCAAAATGGTGCCGTGCCAAGACTTAACCAGATTCATGGAAGAACCTCTTCTATGTTATAAATATCTGCAAGGCAATATCCTGTGTTTCTTGTTGTTTTGGTTTTTCGAGAAAGATTTTCTCTTTAACAGACCTGGCTGTCCCGGAACTCACTCTGTAGACCAGGTTGGCCTCAAACTCAAAAAGACCAGTCTGCCTGTGCCTCCCAAGGCATGCACCACCACTGCAGGCATTTTCTAATCCCGTGTAGTAAAATTCCTCAAGAATATTTAGTAGTTAGCATAATAAGCTGTTACAGTTAAAAAAATTTATAGAGTAAATCAAGTTCATAAAATATAAACTCAAACTGTATTCTTTTTCCAGATTGGTGGAAGATTAATGTGCTGGTTCTTAAATCCATGTTACAGAGTTTGAAATTCCCCCTATTTGTGTTGTATCAGAATGGTCCTTCAGGCTTATTCTTGATTTATTATGCTACTCAACTAAAACCAAAAAGATCCTACTGAGTGTTTCTTTCTAAGAAACTGACTAAATGCCAAGTAGCAGCATATATTTCAAATAATGATGGTTTTCTAGATCTATATTTGTATATCTCTGTGTGAATGCTACATGTATGCCAGTACCCACACCGGTCAGAGGAGGCTGAAGATCCCTGGAGCTGGAGTTACAGAAGGTTGAGAGCTGTCAGCATTGCCTTGCATGGGTGCTGGGAATAAAATTCAGGTCTCTGTCGCTTTTACCCTCTTTGCCATCTTTTCAGACCCGAGTAATGATAATTTTCATACTGAAAAAAGGGTGTTTCTATAAATCTAATAGATCAAAGCATGCAGGCTCACTGAGGCAGCATACTAAAAAAAGGGCTTGAACCTAAACAGTCCTCCAGATGAATGTGGAATTTACAATGAAAAGGGCTGATAAAGGATGCAAGCTTTTTTTTTGACAATTTTCAAAAATGAATAACTTCATGAGAACACAAGACTGATAGTGAAATTATCAGCTATGTCAATCAGTAAATCCAAATTTGTCTCAATTTCTGATGATGTAAGAATCACTTCCCAAAAAGTAACAGCAAAAATCTGATTTGGAAAAGTGATTTATAGTTCATAAATTACTTTCATATAAAGTTGGATATAACATTACCTAATATTATTATAGTTATATTATCTGATGTTATATAAGGAAATAAAAAACAAACCTTGACATCTTGAAATGAAACAGGATCCTGTCCATGGATTTTCATTAGTTCTTGTATGGCCTATATTTAATGATAATAAATCCATAAATAAAAAATTAAGCCTATAATCAATCCCCATCCCCTTCTCACCCCAGTAGGGGTCCAGTTTCACACTGTTTATAAGCTTCACCATTCTTCTGACTTCTCCACTTCCAGTCCACAACTAGACCTTTCTACACTTACCCTGCAGCTATTGAGAACTTGGGGTGAGGAAGGAGGGTTAAGGATGAAGGCTGCTGTTACTATTTCCAAAGGCTAGCTGAGTCCCTCCCGCTTGTTTTTATAAGAGAATACTGAAAAAGATGTGTAGCAAAATCAGCTTTACTTCACTATTATATATCTCCTAAAAATAAAAGAATAAAACACGCTTGATTTCCATTTTAAATCTTTTATAGTAATCCTCTCAAATTTAAAATCATTAGGTAAAACTGTCAATAAGTAGTTTAAACCAAATAATCTACCATATCTTAGGGTACAATGCTCCTTTACCCAAACCACACTTACCCTAAAGAAATAATTAAGGGAAAAGACATTCAGATATCCCTTGTTCTCAATGTCCAGCAGTTTGAAAATATACTGCAGAGCTGCAGGCTCCTTTCTGTTTTCTAAGGCGAGAACAAAGTCCAGGTAGGTCTTATAGTCCTTACAAAAGAGAAAACATTTACAGTAATTTTAAGTGAGTATCTATCAAAATGAAGGTATTTTATAATCACAGATGGCAAATTTGACTATTTTTTAAAATATGAAATAAATTCATTTGTGCACTTAGTGTTGGTTCCTAGGAATTCTATGTAGGCACTAATCTAGGACAGTTCTAAGAGACCCACCTCATTTTTCTTTTTCTCTCTCTCTCTCTTTTTTTTTTTTTTTAAGTTTTTTGAGACAGGGTTTCTCTGTATTGTTTCGGAACCTGTCCTGGAACTAGCTTTGTAGACCAGGCTGGCCTCGTACCTCCCAAGTGCTGGGACTAAAGGCATGCGCCACCAACGCTCAGCCCCCGCTCATTTTCTGAGACTTTTGCTTAGCTTCCATATTATAAAATTGTCAAGACAGTGATTATTTTATGTTGCTATTCAGTTTATCTTCATTTCAGTATAATTTATTTGAATTTATTTTCTCTAGAATGAACATCAGTCTACTTAAGTTGCTATTTAGAACCCACTCATCCATGTCTGTGGGTTCCATGTGTATGGATTCAATCATCTGAGGGCTGAAAATATTTGGGTACAAGTTTTAATTTGTACCTAACTTAGATTTCCCTGTCATTAATACATATACAACATAGTGCAACTACCCAGCATTTATACTGTATTAAGGATTACAAGTAGCCTAAAGATGATAAAAGTATACCAGTACATGTGGCGTCTGTGGATGCTGGTACCCAAAATGGATTCTGGAACCAGTCTACAGAGTCAAGTCTGAGCTTGTGGCTTGCCTATCACCCACAACTTTGAAAGCTGAAGCAGGAGGATCTGAGATGAAGCCAGCATGAGCCAGCAAGTTTCTCCAAAACAAAAGAAAAAAGGAATCAGATGATTTCCAATGGAATGAGGAGTTTGGCTCAGTGGTGAAGTGCTAGCCTCACAAGCATGAGGGCTCAAGTTCAATCTCCAGACCCAAGTAAAGATGCCTGGGATGGTGGTGTGCTTTTGTAGTCCTGAAGCTGGAGAGGTGGAGAACAGCATCCTAAGGGTTTGGTGGCCAGCCAATCTAACCTAATTAGTGCCTCCAGAGAGATCCTGTCTCTGCATTCCTAAGGATGACACCTGCAGTTGTAGACCTCTAATATACATAGGCATGTAAACTTGCACACATACTGACAGAAAAATTTAAAAATTACAAATGGAAGTGAGAAACATGACAGAATGTATATTGAAAGGGGGACTTAAAAGCTACTTGTCTGCATTTTTTTATTAATTTTGCTTTTTGAAACAATTTCTTTCTCATCCCAGGCTGTCCTGGAACTCACTATATGGCTCAAGCTGGCTTCAAACTAAAGGATGTGAGTTTAATAAGGTGTGAGCCACCATGCCCGGCAGAATACCTGTCTTATATAATAACAAGAATACTCGGAAAAGATGTTCACATTCTTGGATGGTTTTATAAGATGATTAAAAATGTTATTTGTGCCAGGCAGAGGTGGCTCATGCCTTTACCCCAGCACTCAGGAGGCAGAGGCAGGTGGATCTTTGTGAGTTC